TATTTGAACTCTTGATTTCTGAGAAGTGTTAATGTTGTAAAGTAAAAAGAGAAATGACATATTCAAACTCTTGCTAATCTGGTAAAGTAAAAGGAGAAATGACATATTCAATTAAAATATGAATATGTCAATTTTGTATTAAAATAATCTTATTTTAATATTGAGATAATTTAGTCAGAAAGAATTCTTGATTAGGTTTGACTTACCGATCTTATCAGCATTACTTAACAAATATTTAATGTGGGACTTTAAAATGAAGCATCATAGGCTGGGTGTGGTGGCTCACACCTTAATCCCAGCACTTTGGTAGGCCAAGGCCGGTGGATCACAAGGTCAGGTGTTGAAGACCAACCTGGCCAATATGGTGAAACTCCATCTCTACTAAAAATACAAAAATTAGCTGGGCATGGTGGCACATGCTTGTAGTCTCAGCTACTTGGAGGCTGAGGCAAGAGAATCACTTCAACCTTGGAAGCGGAGGTTGCAGTGAGCCAAGACTGTGCCACTGCACTCCAGCCTGGGCAACAGAGCAACACTCTGTCTTAAAAAACAACAACAAAAACAACAACGACAACAACAAAGTAGGCATGATAGTGTATTATTATAGAGTTGAATCAAGTAAATTTATTACAATACAAATAAATTTAAAATACTACCTTAGGCTATTTGAATAAAATAATGCAAAGTAACACCTAGCTATTGTCATTTAAAACATAACAGTCAAATTTGGATTGAGAACAGTATTGAATAAATATAAATTAGAGTGCTAAAGCATCTATTGAAATATATAGTATCTGGCTGTAGGTGTTCAAAATTGTATGAATTGAGACATAATAAGGGTATATTTAATGTGTATACATTTAAGATGGATCTATAGTATTTTTGAACTCCACAAAAATGTGAAGTTAATTTTAAGAAGTGTATTAATATGTCCCTCACTGCCACTGCCAGAGACAGGTTTAGGCATAGCTGACCACAGGTCCAAGGCAGTGTGGTAATTCTTACACTTTTACCTTTTTTTTTTTTAAAGGTAATGCATTTTTTAAAATAATATTTTTAAATTTAAATTAAGAGCCTGTACTCTTCTGGGCATGGGAAAGTAAGGAAAAATATTTTTTCTTATGTATTGAATTAAAAGAATCATGGCATTGCCATCTAAAACAATGATTAAATAATAATGCCACATTTTATTTCTGCTACTACTTATTTCTGCTTCTTTTGGCAGATTATTTAAATGTAAAATTCCTCATTTCATGCAGCATATAATGTATACTCATAGGATTCTAATTGAAGTTAGATATGAATATATTTTTATATGAAAGTACCTGTACTAGGATCTAGCGTAAAGTTTAGTAAATATTAACTGAATTCATGGAACATTTCACATAGAAGTTGAGATAGAATATTTTTAAGCACATTATAAAAATTAAGAATCCTTGTGTATACATGAAATAATTTTATCCAAGAATTTAAAAATTACCTACAGTAATTTTATCTATTGTTGCAAAACAATAACAGATGGAAAGATTTTAAAGTAAAGTTAAACAGATGAATAAATATCTAATTATTTGTCCCAAAATGCTAGGGTTTTTGGTTTTCTGCTTTTTTGCATCTTGCAGTGCTACTGTCTGCCAGAAAAGTGTGTATAAAAGATATGGTGAATACAGAGAGAGTAGACCTTTCAAGTTGGAAATATTATATAAAGGTAGTTATATTCTCACCACCAAAATAGTGTAATTTGATGAGTTAATCAGAAAAAAAGTATTTTGCATGTAACTTTGAGTTTTTCTGATTTTCCTTGCTGTATGAAAATACTTTAGCATAAATTGCTTCATAACCTGTAATCATATTTTTAATTTTTATTGAATGAGATTTTAAGAGTATTAAGACATGCATGCCACCATAAACAATTTTTCCAAGGCTTCTTAATCCCTTTGTGTCATTTTTTTTTCCTGTGTAGAGAAAGAAAAGGGTAAATTAAAATATTTTTCTTTCTGAATGCCTCCATCATCATGGCTAATAAGGGCAACCTTGCACATATATATAAGAGGAGAAATTCCATTTTAAATTGCTTTAAGGTTCACCTTTGAATTTCATTGTGGTTGGAAGAGTCCCATGACCTTTAAATTTGATGAAAAGAGAGAGCAGATATTAATCTCATTATGTTATTTTGAAGTTCTCCCAAAGTGGATGGCTCTAGACCACATTTCTGCAAAATGACAAGAGCAGTTCATATAAATTGATCATTGTTACAGGAAAGACAATCTCTAAAGATTTTAATATACCTTCAGTGTTTTAAATCTCATTTCATTCTCTTTGTAATAATTACTATTTCAGAGTTATTATTTAAGAGTTTAAATATATGCCTCACAGTTGTGCTACTAAATGTAGTAACACTCATTTTATAGATTATATTTAGTCCTCTTATATGTAATAACTTTCATTTTAAAGATTATATTTTGTCCCCTTATAAAAGCCAAGCTTATTTTGATATTCTAAAAGCGTTGATTGTGCTTCCTAATAGTATCTGTACACTGTTGATTTTATACAAAGTTATTCCCCTATGCCACAGAAAATTATAATTGAAACACAAAATATTGTAGCTATACAAAATTGTACGAACTGCTCAGGGACATGAAAAATTAACTAACCCTGTGTTTCATACAGTAACACGCAGATGAGAATGACAATAAATAAATAAGCCCACTCCAGGTACTGTGTAGGGAACTTCTATCTAGCTTATTTCATCTTTTGAGTAATTATGCTGGGCTTGTATATTATTATTCTCATCCTAATAATAAAAAAAATAAATATTTGTCATAAGAACAAAGCCTGTGAAAATATAGTAATATGATGTATATCAAATATTTCTTGAAGTGTGACTTGTGAATTATTTGCATCAGATTCACCTTGTTAAAATGAAGAATGCTGGCCACAATTCCAAGTTGCTTAATGAATATGTGGGGCCTCAGAATCTGAATTTTAACATTTCCCATTTTTCATAATCATTATTCTAGCCTGGAACATAAAGGGAATACCATAAAACATATTGTAATTAAGAGCACATAACCTGCAACTATTGTGGAAGTGGAAGAATAAGATTAAGAAAACAATTTAGTATTAATGTTATTTTTTTTCCAGTGCCAATGGCCTAGGAAAAAAAAGAAGTCAAAGAATGTTAAGTCAATACCCTTTACCATGTAGCTATTGACAGGAGGAAACTGCTAAGAGCATTGCCTTCATTTGATGATGTAAAGAAAGAAGGATAAACAATTATTTGAATAGTCAATAAGTATCTGTTTATCTACCTATCTATCTATCCATCCATCTATTCCTGATCCAATGATTCTTAGTTAAAATTCATGGAATTGTTTAAAATGTTAAATCATTTACAGTCCTTTAGTGATTAGCACATAAGATGAAGCTGATTTTCATTGTCCTAAGGTTAAGGGCAGTGGGAAACATCGGCAATTTTAACATGAATGCTACAGAGCTATTTGCTGGATGAGAAGAAAAAATAAGAAAAGATTGCCTAGGGGGGACATGCAGGGCTTACATGAAGATAATTGTCCCCAGATGAATAGCAAGGAACAGTGTATTTCAATAGTACAGATTAAAGATGACCAGAGCATGGACTTTCGATTTTGCTCGAGTAATAGTAAAAAGGAGATGGATACCAGAGACATTATATTCACCATGGCTATGCAAATAATTTAGTAGGGAATTGGACAGGAAATTTTGATGATCTCCACATATTGTATTTCTTAAATCCTCTGCCATTAATGGCTTTGATCATTGTAGTCCACTTAGAGTATGAAGATTTATGGATTGCTATAAAGATGGCAAAAATACTTGGTCCTAAATCAACCGCTGGAGGAACTTGTGGAGCAGAAAATGCCTTAAGTTATAATTTTGTAAGGTAGGCAACAAGAATAATGATTTCTATTTAACAACTCAAAAGAGAATTTTTAAGACTGAGATGAATGCAGAACAGTGGAACATATTTTATCTCTGTCCATAAAACATTATTTTGTAAGGAGTATATGGAGAATGGCAAAGTGATCATCAGCACATTAAGATGTATAACTCTGAAAATTAATTATTTCTCCAGTACAGTCTTTGAGAGTTTTTTCCAATATATAATAAGTAAAATATTCTGTAAAGATTATGAATTTAAATGGGCTCCTACTGTTTAAAAGAGAAGAGGATTATGATCACTAGCAGGTGACTTCTTTCATCTGTCATAAATACTGGATTCAAAGCTATGGATAAATTAGAGAATTATACTGTAATATTAACAAATACCTGTGCTACCTAAATAATTCTAGAGCTTGGACTAAGAACTACACTATCCTTATCTTCTTTATTTAAAAATCTCTGCTAATCTGAAGATTTCAAAATATAATTACTTTATAAATTATTAAAAATACATGATGTTCATGTCAGAACATAATATGGTCAAGTAGCATTTAATCTTCTAATTCCCAAGCAATTCCACATTCTGACTTCAAAACTTTTCAGAAAGTGTAATGATAAGCCCCAGAGGTTCTTTTCTCAGTAACACAATAAAATATGCCTTGGGCCATTTATCTTATCTAAGCTGAACTTGATTAATTTTTTTTTCTTTTAAATGAGATAACATGAAAGTAAATTTTGATATTTCTGGCAATAATTCAAAATAATTGCACACATGTAGACTTGTACACAACAGGTATTAATACACAATGAAATAACTAAGCAGTCAGCATTAGGTTTTCTGTGGAGCATATGAAATGTTCTTGGTGTAAATTAGAAAGATTTGACAGATGTAAAGCTACATAACACAAAAAGCATTTCACAATCAGAATTCACTGCAAAAACACGTTTGTAAAATGTTCCCAAATATATTGTTTTGAACTATGTGTGGACTGGTCAATGATTAAAATATATGAAGAATTGGAACCTTTTTCTAGATTATTCATTTGCAAATACTACAAATTAAAAAGAAAAAAACACAATGATTTCATTTGTTGTTCACTTTATTCTAATAATTTGAAAATGTGCTCATTTTATTACTTCACTTTAGTATACAGTGTTGTAGACTTAGCCTTAAATGTATTTATCTATGTTAATAATTTACTTGCATTATGGTTTATAATAAACATGATGTATAGAAAATTATGTAATGTTTAAGCTTTTTATAACGTAACAACAAAAAATTGGGCTAATGCACGAGTCATGACCTGATTTATAATATTAATAATTTATTAATTTTCATTTAAATCATGCTCCATAATCATAGTTTTAAATTTATCATTATTAACTAAATAACTCTTTTATCTAACAGTAACCTCATTGCCAATTTATGTTCAAGTTTATATATGCTTATTTGAAACATATTTTTATATTTATTATTTGACTTTGTCAGTAATAATGATTTTGTGAGAATTTGCCCATGATTTAGGACAGCCAATACTGTTTTTATCACTATCACAAATAATTTGTGTGGCATCATAGAAGCTCAGTTCCTGAAGAATCATCAGATATCAAAATTGGCTATCCAAGAATTGGCAGAGACATTGAAATTGCAGTTATTTAGTTTGGCCCACCATGCTCAGAGAGATTCACTTAGAATGGTTCTGGAAGCTGTTTTTTTTATTGTGTACACTATTCTTGATATATTGGTATTTGACAGTCATTTTAACTATGAACTGAAGCCAATTAAATTGTTTCTCTGTGGATTTCCTATGACAGATGCACAGAGGCATCTTATGTTAGCCAATAGACATTGTTTAAACACAACTAAAACTGTTCCAGCATTTATTTTGATGCAACTAGCTAATTTCATAGTTGCAATTTCTGTTGAAATAATAACTTTTAATCAGATCTATTATTCTTGTCTTCTGCTACTTCTTATCATAGTGTCGTAGTACTTATATGGGAAAACAACTCCTCCCGACAAAAATTTGGGCACATTCTCTTGACTTCATATTAATAGAAGTGCGATTTAAAATGGGAAAGCACTGCATTTTGTTATCTCTGGTTAAGAGAGTAAAAATTCTACAGCTTGAACTAGGAGACAGACGACTATTGGCCTTTTGGTACTTAGTTCCACTTTGGACTTAGAACAACCAGAAAAACAAATCACAAAAACTTACAGAAGGATTTGTTTAATATGCAAACTCAATTTTTGTAAGTGGCCACTTGTAATTTTCCATAACTCTCAAATTAAGTTCCAATTCATCAAGATTTTAATACTGCTATGAAATATGTCAATTTTAAGTTTAATGCAGAATAAGTAAAATAACTATAAACTTAAATTTTAAAAAGTATTTTAACAAAGTCCAATGAAAGTTACACACAGCATACTAAAAATATGCAAGAAATTAGCAGAAATTCCTACCTAATTTCATCAATTTGTAATGCCTGGCTCCTATAACATTTCATTTGATTAAAATTACTACATTAGCAAACTTGTGGGCTTTGTTATTCACTGATCTATTTTGTTGTTGTTTGGATATTTTTAGATGCTCCGCCAACTGGTCAGGCACACAGTGTGAAAGGCCAGCCCCCAAAAGCAGCAAGTCTGATCGTATCAGCACAAGTAAGTTTCTCAGATTAATATTTTGGGTAGTGTACATTGCATACAAATCATTTTTATGTCATTATTGAGTGAGGTGAGTCTTAGAAGTCTTCTTCATGGAATGTTATGAGAGATTCACTGCTCTCAGGTGTTTTTGAACGAGGAAGCACTGAGCTCACATCTAATTACAGGATCCAGGATGTACATGTTCCTTTAGGCTGGGAGAGTTTATCTCAGATTTGGGGAGTTTTCAGAATCACATCTTCTAACCTAATATAAGCATTTCCTTCGGAGTGTTCATCAGCTGCAAAAGTTGCAGATATCACAATGGCTGTGATAATGCTTCAGGAAGAAAAATAATTCCATGTTTTAATTAGAGCAAAGTGTATTGTCTTTGGAATGCATTTCAATGTGCCATGGGGTAAAAAGCAGACTTTAGTCTGAAAGAGAAGTAAGTTAACAAGCAATTCTTAATAAAAATGTAAGTTGATTTACTGTTTCTCTATGTTTACAGTATTGGTTTGAAGTATGTTAAAACATAGATCAACATTTTTGCTAATCTTTTTCGTGCAGCCATAGTCTTAGGGTCAGGTGTATCTGCATCATCATTGTGTGTTTGTGTATGGTTTCAGATGAGCTGAAATGATGTTATAAAGTTCTTCAAAATAAATGTCTGAAATTCACACATACTGTCATTAATTTGACCGTGAGTGAAAAACCTTTGAAAAATTTGTAATGTCTGTTTCGTGTAAATAAATTTGCAAAGGAACATGTAACATCCTTGAAGGAAGATTGCTTACCTTAGCAATTTTTCCCTAGTCCTTTACAGCTGGTGGGAAGGATTTCATAAAAACAAGCAAAGAGCATACTCTTTCAGAGTTAGTGAAAAAGGAAAAACACTATTAATGTATAAAATATATTATTTTTGTACCCTAGAAGCAGGTGTTCCATGTTTGCTGACATACCCGTTTGTTGTCTCTGCCCCCAGACAGTTTTGATATCATTGTTCAAATTTTGCTAATTTAGAGATTAATTTGGGTTTATTAATAAGCCTAGGCATCTTTGAAAAATGGAAAATAGGTCTATAATAAACAGCCTGGGCACGAATATTTAAATTTGGAGAGGGGAGATAAGTGATTTTTGGTTATGGAGCATTTTGAGTTGATCTTAGAATTTGTGTGCTCTCCTTAGGTCAGGGAAGGGAGAGGTCCCAGGGAAGCTATGAGCATATAATTGTAGGATTACCACACTGGAATTTGGAGTATTGGCTGATAAAATGTTAGAGGTGGCAAAATGTGTCTTGCCCAATTTGTTACACAAAAGAAAAAAGAAAATATGCTTTATCTCTCTTCCCAGGATTTAGGGCTCAAATATACCACCAATAATAACTCTGGAGGTGTACTAATTTATATATAATTTTATGAACTAATTCAAAGCAATCATTAAGAACATTTATTAATGAAAGAAATGCATTTGAAGTTATCAACCTGTAGAGCATGGTGCGTTTATAAACTGGGAATTGAAAAGATACTTTAGCCTTTCCGATGGCGGTTTCTCAATGATCAAATATAAAGAAGATACACAGCCTTTGAGAGTATCAAAACAATTTAAAATTTTTTTAAAAAACTCTCTGACAAGAAATAGTGTGGAACGTGCACTGAATTTGGAAATTTTGTGTTAGCACCATCCACAAAGGAAATGTTTGGTGTTTGGAAAATGGTTTGGAGCTAGAATGCTCCAGGTGTTTCTGTTAGAGAGTGGGGTCTCCAATGATTTGCATGGGCAAATGTAAGGAACTGGTTTTAATTACGTGCAATAGTGCTAAAGAAAAGAACATCAAATAGGGGAAAGAGTTGCAAATAGTTGTAACCCTTTTCCAATGACACTGAAGCTCTTTCTCCCATCACTGATTTAAAGTCATGAAATTTAATAGAAGCATTAGTGCATTTTGAAAGGACTATTAGCTACATAAATGTCAAATTATCACCGACTTGAAAACTTGACCAAATAATCACTCTATTAGATGCCTATCATCAGACATTTATGCTTAGAGAAACTTGCCTCAGTAGCTCTGAAAGAAGGGAAAAGGTAGTTAAACTGACCTTTCCCACCTAATATGATTACCTTTATTCTTTTGGGTAAAATTTAATGGTTTTGAATAGTTGTCAAACCTTCCCTAAACTTGAGCAGAAGTCATCTACCCAATAAGAAAGATGAAACTTTAGAAATGTGTTTTCAAATCTGCATTCCCATCATCAGTGGGTCTTGGTTGGCATATTCCAGAATACACTGCCTCTGTCTGCCTAATTAGCCTCAATTTACACAAAGATTCACCTTTCTGATTTGTGCATGGCTTTCATAATCATCTCTGAATAGTGGTAGAGATGTTTACTGACTCTTGATGTTTGAAGTATCTAAAAGCAGCTTGTGGAATTAGGTAGATCTATTATCTAGGGCTTGGTGCTCAGGTTCCATTTTAAAAATCTAGTCTGACTCTTCTGAAGATATTTTCAAGAGCTTTAAAGTCAGGATGATAAAATATTCATTGAATATTTCTATTTTAAATTTACATAAAATTTTAAAATTCACATAAAATTGAGCATTGAATGCTCAGTATTTGAATTGTGCTTTTTGTGGTATCTGCTGAAATTATGAAAGATAAAAATATACTCATCATTTCTGGGGCAGTAATGTAGGGATATTGTATTTTACTATAGTGACAATAGGGGCAAGCTATCCGTTAGGGGGTCATTGTATCTCTTTTTCTACTTTGTCCTTATCATTTTTATATCATCTATTTTATTTTAGTACTAAAATTAACTGGTTATATGATACCAGAATTTATACATTTGCAAATATAGAAATATAAATGAAAGATTCAAGAAAAGAATGTCTTCTTTCCACTTCTCCCAAAGCAAATGTTTATCAAGTCTCTGCTAAGTGTCAAGTATTACACTAGATCCCAGAGACAGGACAGTGAGGAGGTCAGACAGTGCCTCTTCTCATGAAGCTGAGGTTCTAATGGAGCAAACAGCAATAAAAGAAGGAAGCAAATAAAAAAGGAAATATTGAAATGTATAAAGTAATTGTAAGCTTTTATTTGTCTGTGAAGGAAGCAAAACCAAAAAAAAAAAAGGGGGGGGGGCAAAGATAGAGGATGTCACGGACAAAGTAAGGCCAGGAGTGATTTCTCTGAGGTCGTGATACCTCTTCAGCTGAGACTTGAGGATCAAGGCACAAGAATAAGAAACAGCAGGTACAACTGTGGAGCGACAAAGGATTGCGCATGTCCAGCAGACTGAAAGAAAACCAGTGTGCTAGCTTCAAGAGGACAATGGGGAGAGCGGTACGAACTGAAGTTAGAGATCCAGGACAAAAATGATAGACAGACTCTTGAAGATGACTGGGTCACCTTTACTAAGTTGGGAACATATTTTCTTTATAGCTTTTAACATTACAGTGTACCAAGATGCTTAAGAGAGAGCATGCTAATTTCAACAAATACATATACCTCATATTTATACACATCTATAAACATAAACTTAAGAATAGGGTATAGACCAATATGTCAAAGGAAGTCATTGTAATTATATAATTTATGCTGATATTATTCTACTGTAAATTTGATCGGTAAAGAAAATGCTGTCTTCCTCTGAACTTCATGACACTGAACACTTCTGGCTTCTCTCCTACCTCTTTTGAAGCAACTCTGTCTTCCTTGTGAAATTATTTCCTTTCTATTCTGTCTGGTTAATTTACTCTCTGTCTATCACTAGACACTCTCCTTGTCCTGGATATACTCTCCTTGCCAAGACATAGATTCTTGACATGATTTATCAACTGTTTATTTCCCCCAAATTCCTATGCTCAAAATCGATTTATCTCCTAAGTTTGAGACATATATCTCACTGCTTGCTTGATATATCTGTATCTATATCATCTATATTCCACAGGGATCTCAAGTTCAGTCCCCATATGATCTCTTCACTGCCCCCTACCCATGATCATTTTCTTATACTTTGTTTCCCCTTCTGTCCATATGGATGACTGAAAGGTGGTGATGCTTCAGCTGGCTACCGAATCATCACTTAAGTTCCATTCTTAACGTTCTCTTTCGTTCCTAAGTTGAATTAAACAATATACTCAGTAGATGTTACTTCCTAAATTTTCTTCAACATTATCTTTAAAAAACAATAGTACAATTGACCATCTGATTTATATGGTTACATACTCCATAATCTCACCTCTGCTTTCCATTGCAGTCACATCTCCTTCCAGCAATGTCTAGCCCAACTGTTTTTCCTTAGTCCTAATCCTCTTGGCCTTTAAAGTCTCTTCACAGACTGCTGAAGACTTGCTCCTAAAGCCCCAGAAATACATTAGTCGTCCTCCAGCCCAGATCTAGTCAGATGCACCTCCTTTATATTCCCAGAACAATGCATACTTCCCTAATACAGTATTCGTGCTAATAAAGTGAATGAACCCATTTGTTTGTCACCTTCTGTTACACGTCAAGCAACATGAGAGAAGGGTCATTTTTATCCTCAGTGTGAAACAGAGTATATGTATTGAGGGTCTGGAGCATAGCAAGCACTTAAGATATACTTGCTAAATCAGAATTGAATGTGTAGACCCTGTGATATCCTAAGAACTGCGCTATTTGCAGAACAAAGAGAAAGAGATTGTGCCCTTAAAGACATCAAAAACAAATTGATATAACATATTGTGAAAAGTGCAAAATAAAAGCATGCATAGAGTGCTATGAGAACATATATTTTGATTGTTTTTATTAAGAGTGTATGTAGGACTTTCTATGATTGGCATAATCCTACCTATAGCACTATGTGATAGCTAGTAATGATGATACCAATATTATAGATGAATAAACTGAGACAAATACAATTAATATGCCTAAGCGTATGTTGGTAATAAATAGTAAAACTGAGATTTGAATAGAGGTAGCCTTGCTCCATTATCTCAACTGCTATGCAGTACCAGCTCTTCTGTGGAAAGGGGCTCAACACAGCACTTTAAAAATACAGTTCATTCTTCTAATGGAAAAATGTTGCATAATGAGGCTTCAGAACCATGTTGCAAAAAAAGACTTGCTCTATTTTTTATGAGAAACTTGAGATATTCTCTCCACCCTTAGTAAGTACTGAGTGTATATTTTTCAATCAGTTTCTAATAATCCACTAACAATGTACTGTTAAAAAAATCACCTGCAAAAGGGCTTGTTCATTTTATTTACAGTATAAAATCTACTACCATATATACTACTAGGAAAAATACTTATTTTTATAATATCTATAATACAATTTTAACAATATCTGTGGTTTCCAGCAATAAAAACTATTTTATAAAAATTAAAAATTAAAAAAACTTGCCAACCTTCTAGCCTGCATTATTTATCAGTGACATTAGGCATTATAGTAGTTACCTTGATTGGTTACATAAACATATCAGAAGTCTAGGCTCTTAAACACAGTGCTGTAATATATGGGCTTGTAACTGCCATCTGTGATGGGAAAAAAAAGAAACCCCTTGTTTTCTATCATAGTTAATTAACAGCTTTCTACTTCATAGGAATGCCAAACTGTAGAACAAATAAAATCTATTTTAAAAGATATTTTATAATTGCATTGAGAGAAAATAAATTTTATATACCTTAAAATTATGTTGATAGGTATTTTACACCCACCAATTTTACACAAATTTTAGAGAAAAAAATGAAATCGATGTATTGATAAAGTCATGATCAATCAGCTGAAGTCATAGTTTATGAAGAAAGCAAGCTGTTCACTGGTATTTAAAACTTGTGAACAAATGTTAATTACCATCCAAGGTGCCAGATTCTCTGCTTTCATTAATTACTAATAAATTACAGATGCATATAAAGTTCACGTTCCCAAAACCAAGGAGATAATATAGTAATATCAAACACACTAAGTTCTCATAACTACATGAAAAAACAAAATGACCTTTATATTTTAGAAAGCGTCTAAAGAAGTGGCTAGAAGAGATGGTTATATTTTATGCAGGTTATTTCTCGAAGTTCTAAATTAGATACTTATACATGAAATTTTCTTAATGAAGCCTTTTTGGTATTTTGGCAAGTGATCTTCAGTATGAATTATCTCACCCAGATATCCTCTGGCTATAAAGCTATTAAAACAGATCTATATATTTATAGTAAAGTTCTAAGTGGCTGGTTATTGTGCATAATATCACCATTAATTTCTACCTTGATACTTTCACATGCACATGTATTTGCAGGAAAAATTCATAAACTTTAAGAATTTGTAGTGTTCTGTTCTTAATCCATTCGAGATCTCCATGTGAAATTTTAATTAGTTGTTGGGCTGCTTTGTTTCTTAGGTTAACCAGTGATTAAGTTGACTTGATTATATCAACCCGAGGTCTATTCAAAGTAGACAAAAGCCTTTGTTTCATGTGTACTAGTCACTTTTCAGTAAGAAAAGTTAACATTAGCTACTTCATACTTTCCTATTATCAGGCAACTCTGTATTCAGCTTTCTTCCTACAGTAAATGGCATTTGGGTGTATTCTCCTGTGGGTCACATTATTAGCAATGAGCTATTTTTGTCTGCCTACTCAGTGACTAAAAAAAATGATTACCCAATTGCCAATCTATTATATAAATGGAAAGCAAAGTCTCCATTTTGCTACTTCCCTGTGCTCAGATGTATATAAACAAGGACTAAATTTCACTGACCACTTTTGAAGATTGATTCTGTTAGTGCTAGTACTCAAGATCATTCTCATATATGTGGAAGAAAGGAAAATAATTGACATTTGCCACATAAGCCAAGCTCCCAAAATATGTTTTGCTAAAACCATTCAGGAACTAGAACATGAGAAAGAGAACTTTTTCGCCCCCTAATTTTGTGGAATCAAGCTAACTGCCCTTTGTGGTAGGTCTTTTTGTGTCTGTTTTACTGTTGAAGAGCATGAGCCTCAAAGTATTTAAGTAACCTACTTAAGGTCTCATTTCAAGTAAGTTGTGAAACCAATATTTACGCCAATGTCCATCCTAATCAAACACTGATACTCCTTCTGCCACATAACTTGCCACATAGACCCATGGCCAGAAAATTTGGATAGCTAAAGGAACAAAACTAAGGATGGGAATGTACTCAGTGAAACTGTGTAAATATTTATTCAGTCATAGTTGATTTAAAAAGACATACTGGCATATATTTGCATCATTTAAGTAAATGTGTGTGATGGGAAACACTAAACTCAGACTGACAGAAAACTCAGATCTCTAATCTCAAGATATTTAAATGCAACACATAAATGAAAGGAGGTATCTAAAGAAATATTTTCAGCAGATCAAGTATTTAAGATGAGAACAATTTTCCAATAACATAATTATGAACCAGAAATATAAACATTTTGGCTAAGCTTATTTTTGTTTTATCAATGTAATTTGGTGCAATGAAGTATGTAGTTGTATCAGTTTTTACTTCATTTTATTTATTTCTTCATCTATTCACTCATTTATTTTCCAGGAAGCATTGCCATCATTGTGCCTCTCGTCCTCTTGGTGACTTTGATAACCACCTTAGTAATTGGTTTAGTGCTTTGTAAAAGAAAAAGAAGGTAAGATAAAATGTTCTAGATTAGCAGTCAGTCAATAAATCACACAACTAGATACAGAAACATATATATTTTTTATTTTTTAAAACATGATTTAGTTATTTCAATTGTAAAATACTATGTTTGTCAAATCATTTTATACCTTTCTTTTATTTTAAGTGATTATAAATTAGACAAATCTTCTCCCATATTATGTTAATGGAATGGTCCATTTATTTACTCTAGCAAAACTAACAGGAGATCATACTATTCAGAAGTTAAGTAGAATTTTACATTTGCAGTTGTCTTTCCTTGAAATAGCAAGGGTCTCTGAGGAGCACCTTTTTATATTAATGTGTATGATTAGTAATGTCAATCCAGTGATTCTGATATGCATATGTACATCTCCAATTTGTACATTTCATTCACAAATAGTGCATTGATTCACTTACTTTATACCTCACTAGAAGTATCATTACAATTTATTTGAAAATGCACTTATAGATCTAGAGGAATAGGTTGTCTACAGAAAGATAAGAGGCAAATGCGCTCATTTATAAATCAATGTGAAAGAATGTATACACATGGACGTAGAGTATAGGGTGATAGCTATTGGAGATTTAGAAGGGTGAGGAATGAAAGTGAGGCGGATGATGAGAAATTACTTAATGGGTACAGTGTACATTATTTGGGTGATGGACACACTAAAAGTCTAGACTTCAACACACTGTGCAATATAACCATGTAACAGACTTGCACTTGTAGCCCTCAGCCATAACTAAATAATTTTGAAAACTGAGAGCTTTTGACTTACTATCTGAATAATGTAAAACAAAATTCTAGTCATGTGACTTAGTGATTGAAAACAATCTATTTTAGAGTTTTTTTAATCACTATTTTGTTGGGATGGTTTTTAGAATGAAGGAGAAAAATTAGAATTTAAAAAGATAATTGATTGGTAAACATTCAATTTCAAATGATGTGGTATTAGTGATTTAGGAGGTATTTATTTCCAGTGTATTTTTATAAAGTTAAAACAATCGGGAAAATAGCCGATCAAAATACTACTTTTTGTTCCCGTTACTTGACATATGTCATTTAGTCAATTTATTTCAAAATAAGTCAGGAAATCTATAAATATGATAATTTTATAAACCTTGGTTGTGATATTTATACAAACTCACACATATTGATGTTCATATATTCTAGGACAAAAACAATTAGAAGACAACCTATTATCAATGGAGGAATAAATGTAGAAATTGGCAATCCATCTTATAACATGTATGAGGTAGATCACGATCACAACGATGGAGGCCTTTTAGATCCTGGCTTTATGATAGACCCAACAAAGGTAATATGTCTTAAGATAATGGGCACTGAGCACTGACATTCTTAAGTCTTATCTCTGTTTTATGGTTCTGAATTTCACTAAGTTTTTCTGTTATCTGAAGTTAGAATAAAGGACTTTCGTATGTGTTGAATGATATAGCCTCTTCTAAAGAGAAAGTACAATTATGGACTGCATTCACCTGAAGCTGCAAGTTAGTATAACACATCTTAGAAACATCTATTTATTTACTTAATTCATTTATAAACATGTTACTTATTTTTATTTGTTTTTTATTGAAAAATGACTCATTATCTAACTTTGTTCCCATAAAGTAAACAAAAACTCCTTTAAAAAATATTTTAGTATTGATACCATACAGCAAACTGTTTAGATCTTCTTCATGGGATGGATAGATATATAGATAGATAAAGGTCTGAATTTTAAGATTG